ATATATATATATATATATATATATATATATATATATACATATGAAATACATGACATTGCAATAGAAATTACATTGAAGTATATTTTAGTTTATTCTTATTAAAAATATACAAAGGTGTACTGTACTTCTTTTTCCACAAGGTTTATATCGTTACAAACCAGTATGACTTGCTTTCTTCTATTTTTTTTTTAATCCATAAAGTGAAAGTATTTTATTATTGTCTCTTATTCCATGTACTAAAACAGTTGAAACATTTCGAAATATTCCTCCACCCTTCACCTTAGCTTTCTCAGACGTTTATCAGCTGGCATACCACAAAACAGAAGACATTCAAGACAGCCTGGAAGTTCAAGTTGCAACATGACACGTGCAGGTTCAACCGAAAACCAGTATCTGGAAAAAGATGCACTTATTTGTGGTGCATAGTGTCCATCTTCTGTGGCTGTCTGTAGCTCTGGGTGTTTGTTCATCATTGTGTTGTGGTTTCGGTCAAAGCGACACACATGCTGTTTGCCAACCACAAATATCCTGTTGTTGTTTTACGAAAAATTCACATATGTAGGTCACATGACTTCAAGAATATATTCTGTATAAGCCATAACAAGCTATAGTCAGTATTTGCATGGTGAATGTGTTTTAACCATGTTTTTACCATGTTTATTGCAGACTCCTGGATTTTGGACTGAGGATGAAGGAGAGGTTAACGTGCACAAACGCTCAGCATCATGGGGCAGTGCTGACCATCTCATAGAGGTGCGACATGAAAGTATTTCAAGTGATGGGTGGTAATGTGTTTATAGACATACTCTGGGCGTATAATTGGCCTCTTTTCCCATAATGATCCTCAAACATACCCACACATTATGTCTTGACTTGCCATTATTGGCTCTTGTGCACTTGCAATGTCAGTTTGGGAATCCCAAGCTGTGGCAATATAAACATCTATTGAGCATTGTTTGGTGAAACCTGTGAGATTAGATACAGCTGTTATATTTGGTTAATTGTAGGTCATGCCATCTAGTATACAGCAGTCATCTGGTGTAGGGCTGTAGGGCTTGAGCTTAGATTTTGTGTCACTGTTTGTTTCTTCCGTCCATCTTTTGCTGATGGTAAAAATGTGATTTCCAGATTGCAAAACTCCGTCAGCAGCTCCAGCGCAGTTTGCAGGGCAGCCGCAGTATCAAGGAGAAAGAAGAAGTGATGCATCTGAATCCGGCCCAGGTACTGTACATCGACTTGCTAGTGTTATACTTCATCTTCCGAATTTTGGGGTTTTGCAATCAGAAACATTCATTTTCAAACATTCATTCATTCACAATCATTTTTAAAATGATTTTGAAAGAAGTCTCATATGCTCACCATATTTAAATATATATATGTGTGTATATATATATATATATATTTATATAATATATATTTTTATTTATATGATATATGTGTATATATAAATCAATCACATAAATATTTATAAAATGGCATATACTATTAGTAGCATTTTTGTTTACTTTTTAGTAGTGATATAATAATAGTTGTATTAATAGTGACATATATAATAGAATATATTATTAATATAATTTTTGTTTACTTTTTTAATAGTTATAATAGTACTAATAATAGTTATATTAATAGTTTTATCACAAAGAATAATTTTTAGCCAAAATACTAATTTGCAATATTTGCAAATGTGTTTATATTTACAGTATTGCATATACTTAAATTTTATTAATATTTTCTGTTATAAAAATTGCATATTTTTTTTAAAATTGTATATTTTGTAAATTGTAAACATTTTATATATACGTATATAAATATCACAAATATATCAATATCACAAATGTGTGTGTGTGTATACATACATGCATACATACATACATATTTGTATGATATATTTGTATGGCTGCAATTATTTTAATCAAAAATGTGGTAAGAATTATTGTGAAATATTACATATTAAAATAGTTTTCTTTTTGAATATATATAAAATGTATTTTATTCCTGTGATGACATTCAAAGGAACAACATTTACTTGAAATATATATTTTTTTGTTACATTATAAATATCTTTACTATTAATTTCTTTAAAAAAAATTATATTGACCCCAAATATTTAAACGATTTGTCATCAGAAAGTCATCTGATAAATGTACAATTTTTAAATTCTATAAAAAAAATCTATTCTATTAAAAATGATTTTATTAAAACAAAATGTAATTCATTTGAAATAAATATTTTGTTACATTATAAAAATCTTTACTATTAATTTCTTTAAAAAAGTCATATTTGTATTTAATTGATTTGTATTTAAAACGACATCAGATAAATGTCAATTTTTTAAAAGTTTTATTTATTTATTTAAATTCTATAAAAAAAAACACACACACACACACAAGAGCTGCTTTGATTTGGCCCACAATATATATCATAAAAGACAAGAAAAGAAAAAAGTTGGAAAAAACATACCATTGAAGCATATCTTCATTTTTAATTTATATTTTAGTTTTAACATTTTTGTGTTTAATTTTTCCATTAAAATGTAGAAAATTTTTAAATTTAAAATAATTAAAATATATATTTTATTTATATTTGTTTATTTAAACATTTAAATATATTATAATATATAATATAATGCAATATATAGGTAGATATAATGCAACATATGCTACAACATTTTTGGTTTATGGCCCCTTGATCAGTTTTAATTTTTGGTCCTACGTATTAGTAGCTTTGGGCACCTCTGATGTATATATATATATTTTATATAATGCAGAAAATTATAATGTATGCAAAACATCCAATATGAAAAACCATAATGATCCTAAAAAACAAGCTTCTTTTTATCTTTTGGAGTAAAATTTGTGTGAGATTAACCTATATATATAGATTTGATAAATTCAGATTTTGACATTAATCAGATTACTGCTGCTTTTTGTTTTCCAGCCAAAGCGGCTCTCTGCTTCTTCATCTGATATGGTCCGTTCCAGACCCGTCATTTGTCGAATGCCCAGCTATAGTGACTGTGTTAACCAGGAGCTGGAGAACGTCTTCATCTGTGAAGACTGGGGGAGAGAGGAGGAGAAGGTACAAACACACACAGGTTTCAGTGAATCATTTCAACTTCGTAACACTTTTTGTAATTATTTTTGTGTTTGTCCTCCTGGTTCAGGCTTTGGAGGTGCGGGACGGCGGCCGCGCTCCTGTTCCTCCTCTTCATGATCACGCACACATCTCCTGCAGTCCCTGTTACTGCTGCTCTCCTGCCGCCCACGCTGAGAAAGGTAGCGCTCGTTCAGTACCAGTCCCACGGTGCTGCCCTCTGACACCATCACTGTGCTGTGCTGTTTTCACAGTATGTTTATAAGGGAAGATTTGCTTAAACTAATGCTCGATTCGTCCTCTCAGATTACAGGTGTGGTTCACCTCTGCCTCAGTTTTCCAGCTCTCCCAAACCCAACAACAGTTACACGTTTAAACGTGAGCCTCCTGAGGGCTGCGAGAAAGTCAAAGTGTTTGAAGATCTCATGTAAGTACCATTGACTGCGTTCTCTGCCTTGCTTTCTGCTTTTTAAAACCATATTTGTAAAATACTCCTCCTGGATTTTTGCTGTGCACATCCAGAGAGCACGCTTTGGTTTTTGTGTTTGCTGGTACAAGGTTTTGCTTGACGTTTGCAGGTAAAACAGCTTGAGCTCAGTTTAGATAGCAGTTTAGCACTCAGTTTAAAGCATCATGTTTTTTGTAGACAATATCATGACTTTTCCAGTCATTTGTTATTTTTAAAAAGGTGTGTATATTTACAGTAATATTACATGTACTTTCATTTTATTAGGTATTTGCTAATTAGCTATTTGATTTATATATATTATGCATATATAAATATCACAATATATTAAATTATATATTTAAATATATGTGTGTGTGTATATATATATATATATATATATATATATATAAAAGATATTTTGAATTTATATTATATATGTATATATAAATCAATCACATAAATATTTATAAAATGGCATATACTATTAGTAGCATTTTTGTTGACTTTTTAGTAGTGATATAATAATAGTTGTATTAATAGTGACATATATAGTAGCATATACTATTAATATAATTTTTGTTTACTTTTTTAATATAGTACTAATAATAGTTATATTAATAGTTATATCACAAAGAACCATTTTTAGCCGAAATACTAATATGCAATATTTGCAAATGTGTTTATATTTACAGTATTGCATATACTTTAATTTTATTAATATTTGCTGTTATTAAAATAATTGTATATTTTTATATTTGTAAAAATTTTTATATTTTGTGTATTGTAAAAAATGAAAGGTATAGTCACACTATTGGGTAAAATGAAGCTGCTTTTATTAATTTCATGCCATTCAGGGTTACATTGGTATTAGAAACACACGAGTACAACTAAAAAAATACAGAAAATTATATGCCATTATTTAGTTTAGTGGGATATGATTTATGGTGATGCATATTTTACTTAGTCTAGTAAAGCACTGATATGAACTGACTTCAGTAAGGCCTTTTGGTCCCACTGTGTATTGTGTTATGTGGAATCACATTTACAAAGTTATATTACATTTTATTGCACTTGCATGTTTGCAGTTTAATATGTATGGTGAAAGGTAATTTGTAGTACATGGGAATCAGTTTTCAGGGACACAAACACATAATCAGCACTAAGAAATAGCCTACAGTTAACCAACATATACATAAACACTTATTTCATACGACCTGGTTTGACTAAATTGTTTACCAATGTTTTATTGGTATTCATGACAAAAATAAGAGCACAATAGTCAGGTTCTGGAAGTAAAAATCCACCATCATAAATACTATATGTGTGTATGTAATACAAGAAAATCCACAATGTTATGGCAAATCAAATTGCCTTGACAATACTAGCAAATGGAAAAGGAATCAAGGCCAGAGTGATTATTATTAGTTTCCTTTGGCAGCAAATATTTCTTAATGAAATAATTAAGGTTAACTGCTATGGCATAAAGAAATCAGTGCTGATATCTGTCCAGGACAGGCGTCTGTAGGCCTCTCTCATGAACTGTTGATTGTGCGACAAGAGCGTAAAGTGCATCTGTAACAAATCAGATTAAGCGTTTAGGAGCTCCTGTTCTTCATCGGTTCGGCCGATCGCGTCCGGGTTTGACAGCGGATCCAGGTCAGCAAACAGATTGAACCAAGCAGATAGATCTTTTGAGGTATCTGTAATGAAAAAAAATGAGTATTAGAATTGTATTGCAATGTATCTAAAAATACAACCTAGGGGTATAAATATTTTTATATTTATTTTTATTTTATAATTTTTTTTGGGGGGTGGGGGGGGGGGTATGATTCATACACTTAAAA